TAGAGGACCGGAGACCCTTTTTACTGGAAACGAGGCATTCCATCTTAGTCCTCACGGGTGACAACGCATCTGCATTTTGATTCTTAATCGAGGATAGATGTAGATGTCTATGGGCCACAGCAACCCCTTACCATGAGGTGGACTGTGTGCTCGTTTGTCACCCTTATCCTATAAAAAAAAAACCCTATCAAAAGTCCACTGCTGAAAATAAGCATCCACATAAATTGCCTCGTAGAGCGGATATTTGCCATAAGCTGTCACGTTTGGCAACGGTAGTTTTATATTATCTAGTTGTTATTAGGAAGGCGCTGCTGCCCATGCCCTCGGTTTGTTTCTCTCTATCGCCTCTTACGACACCCACGGAACGATATAGGGCAGTGGATATTCTTACACTGCCATTACACGGTCAGTTAGTCATCATAAAAATAATAATAAGTACACAAACAAGATGCATGGAAGAACATTTTTAAAACCCCCATAATTCATATTTAATTTTTTTATATAATATTTCTAATGTTTTACATTAGAAAAAAGACGTGCACTATTGTTTTGGACGTTTTAGCCATTATATATTTTTTTCTTTGCCATCTCATAAAAAGCAAAATTTGTACGTACTTAGCCGTTTGTTTGCCGTTATCATGTACAAGCACACGTTTTCTTTAAGGTGCCTAACGCACAAGACAATTAGCCTAAATTGTTTTTTCGGCACAAAGGCAATATAATAATAGTTTTTTGACAATAAGGGTAGCTGACAATTTCCTCCCCAGTGGCGTTTTTATCTGAGTAGAACTGTTATTTAAGTTATGCTAAAACCATATTAAGGCGACACATCGAAAATCGTTGAAGCGGGCTATCGCCGGACTGACCCGAGTGGAGCATAATTTCTATAAAAACTTCAAAAACGCCGTCATGAGGTCTAAAATTGCGTAGCGTCCGCGACGATTCAGATCGCTCAGAAACCGCTTAAAATCTTAATATTTTAAAAAAAAATATTGATTTTAATAACCAAAATAATGAGCAAGTAAATTACGAATATTGATGTTATGAATGTATTTGAGTGGTTCCCAAGCATATAGATTAAGTAATTTCGTTGTAATTTCAACTATAGTGATTTTTTGGAGGTGTTTTCGCAATAATTATGATCGAGTCAAAATTTTACAATCGTGTTTTTGAACAAGCAAATTCAAGATGAAGACATGAATTTACCTGTATCAAAATTCCAGTTTTGTTAGTCGTGTCATACTTCTATACTATTCGATGAAAGAATGTGTATTTTTCGCGGTGTCGCCTTAATGTAAGCACATAACTTATCAAAGTAACAAACTCATCAGACAATAAAATACATCAGAGTAAGGATGAAATATTTAATAATGTTAGGTAAGGAAACAAATCAGCCTTTATAAGATTTATTATAAATAATAATTACAATGTAATCGATTTGTACATACTCATTGATTGATAATAATAATAGAAAGTAAATATTTTATACAAATATAATGTCATTTTTGTTTTTCATTACACATACAGCTACATACATTGAAATATGTATTAAAACAATTATACATATACCTCACAATTACGAATATTTTTTGTGTTAAAGTAATTTCACACTATTTTCATTTCAATTCTATAATTTGCGAATAATATTGATAATATATGAAACCTTAATGACAGGATTTTACTTGCAAATAAAAAACTTAATTAAGGAACATACATACATGGCAACTTGAGATGATACAATACTTTATTTCGAAACACTACCCAACCCACATGGTTTTTAAATTTTTATGTTTTTGTAAGCTAAACAATGTACCATTAACATTTTGATTTAATTTATATCATACAGAGGTTCTTACGGTTCCTTCCTATGAAGCGGAATATAAAATTGAATAGAAAAATGTGACTTCGATTAACGCATACCTAATATTCTTAGAACATTCGTATTCAAAATGCAACATCAATATTTTTCTATTTTCAATACAGTGTGTAAGTTGTACAGACCATAAGAACCGCCTGCAATTACAAAATTAAATTTGTCTATTTAATTGGATGATACATATTATATGTTAAACATTAGATATAAATAAATGAGAGTGATAACATCGTGATAAAATGACTAATAAGTAATAGCATTTTATAAAAAAAAAACTTTATAAAGCTTGTAAAATGAAAAATGTCACCTATAAAATATAAAATAAATCACTACCTAAGCACCGTTGTTGAAAAATGATGGCAAATATGTAAATGCTCACAATGCTAAAACTCCCACCTATAATCGTAATAAAATATAGTAATTATTATGATCAAACTTTTGTGCCAAGTAAACGCACTTAATACCAGTGTAAAAATATCAAAATAAAAGTAACAAAGTTCAACAAGCTTAATAATAAATCCTAGAATACAGTGTTAAAATAATATTACGAGTTTATTGAATGACATCTGCAATAATTACAGGATCTTATACTTGGTAAATATGTTGATTTAAAAACAGTAAAAGAGCCAAATCATTGTTGGTCTAAAATAAGTCTTTATGTGCAATTAATATATGTCGACATCAGTGCTAAAAGGGAGGAAATAATTTCAACAAGTTTAAAATGAGATTGTCCTAAACCTAAAGCATAGCATGAAGAATCAGACTATTTCTACAAGCATGCATGGGGATAGGAGTGATGAATAATGAAACTATTTCAACTCAAAATAGCTATATAGTGAGTGCTCCAACACAGCTATAAAGTGGTTAGTGTTTATTCAATTATTTATTGGCAACATGCATCCTGCGCCTCGAACGTCATTCTTGTATCTGTATGAATCTTTCTTTGTTTCATTATTTATCCAACCAAACAAAAAGATAAAATAATTAATTGTTTATAACCATCAATAACAAACTCATTAATCTGGATATCCTATTGCCTTTCTAAATTCCTATCTACCTAATAAAACTATTCAGCGTACAGGATCATTACTATTCTCATATTTTTACATAGGATTGTTACTCACTGATTTTTTTAATACTCTGCTATGTTTATTAATCAATCAACTTCACTGTATGTCTACAAATTCAGCACACCACATACTTAAAAGGTAAATAAAATCCAATCATATTCAGCCTATTTGATTATTTCTTATTATTTAGAAATAAAAAATATCATAGGCATAAAATGATTATTTACTTCGCAACATTATTGCGTTATACCATAAAACATATTTTTGTGCTGCATACTCATTTAATATGCGGTGATTGTTACAAGCCCATCGCATACAAAAATATTGTTAACCACTATCCTCAAATCATCCGACAAACTAAATACGAGTATATAATATACTTGTTTCATTTTTAATTGAAGCAAAAAAGACATTTCTGAAAACGCTATAAGGTGTGAGATCTTTGGGCTAATATCTGGCTAAATATTTATAAGCCTTGTTAGTGTTTAACAAGGTCACATGTTTCGTAACCTTATTATAATATCAAATCAAGTTATTAAAGCCCAACTTTATCCATATATATATATATATATTATATGTGTGTGTCAAAACAAACAACAAACGATACATTAAACTGTAGAATCACATAATATGCTAAACAATAAGAAAGCTACAATATTTGTTTGCAAATTGATCAATGATGATCTAGTTATATATAAAAGAAATATTGTGTATCATCTACTGGACGCAAGCATAGAGTCACGTAAACAAGTCTGTACATAGATTTAAGAGTTATATTATGTACCTTAATTAGTATGGTTACCCTCTAATGTAAATGAGAACATAATGTACATCTTATAAAATTTGGTAGTGTTGAAATAACACTATTAGTTAAATAGGTTATTAAACATTATATGAACGACTTTCCTAAACATATAAATTATATATTCATCAACCAAATCTTAAAGATGTACATTACTTTAACATTTTCAACATACACAGATAGTGGTTTATTTTTTTTGTAACCGTCAGTCACTAAAGCATCTACATTAGACATTTATGAACATCAAGATTGTCTATTGGTAAATATATATGTTACAAAATATTTTTAAACATTCTTTATACAATACAGAGTTCCTCAGACATAAAGTTATTCAACTTATTGTAATTTTAAAAGAAACACTTACTAGATAGTCTTTAAAGTGTTAAAAGACTCAACAGGTTACTGGTTCACAAAACCACATAACGAGAGTAGGCTTACTAAGCATGACATGACCAAACAGTTTTTGATTAAGCATCTATTTCAGTCATTGATATTTGTCCAATACTCAATCATTCAAGATTTATAATACTTTATTTTATAAATAAACATATAAAAATATACATTTAAATTATGTTTTTAATATTACTCAACACAGACTCAACTTAGCAACAGTTCTAAAATAAATTATTTTGTTTTTTTTTTTTAAATATTATAATTTAACATGATTTGTGAAGAAATGAGCAGAATCAGCTTATTAACTTTTACAATTATTGTAAATATGATTTTCAATAATAATTTTTGTTATCTTTCTTTTCTTTATCAATCTTATCTCAGGATATTCTTGAGATTCTCTTTTGAAATCCAAGCTTTTTGAAATTCACTTCCTAGCAATGCCTTGCTATTTTAAGCCTGACCATTTGTATTTTCTTATTTAATTTTCTTTTTGCAAGACTAGCTAAAATATAAGAATTTATCACAAACTTGATATAACGTTAGAAATTGAATCATTAATTTGTTTTTTGTAAAATTAACAAGACCTGCTACATTTTAAAAAACAACTAAGGATATAACTAACAAAAATATCAATAATTTATATGAAAGTACAGGCATGACGTTGTTATGTTTGTAGTTGTACAATGAACACATAGACATTCTAAGTAGTAAAATATATGATTCAGTAAATATACAAGTTAGAAGTCAAAAATGAAATAGCACCGAGTAAACACCAAAATGGGGAGTAATAAATATGCCAGATGTATAAAGCAATGACTGTTACCGGTGCAACGACTGAGAATCCGTCATAATTATAATCAATTTACTGAATGACACAGCATTTGCATTTGGGTTTCTTCTTGATGGTGACATGTTCAGGTTGAAGCGGCTCTTGTGGAGGTGAACGCTGAACTTCAACTTGCCCTGGACGATGCTCTGTTACTACGGTACCGTTTTTGGTACCATTCATAGCTTTTGGTGGACTCTGCTGTTGCACTGGACTTGCAACTTTTGTTTGAGGAGATGATGGTGGGCTGGCCTATTTAGAGAATTTAGGTTAATAGGAATAAAATTTTATATAACATGCACCAGGGAACAAAATAAATCCTTACGTACTTTGACATTATTCGCATGCACCTTCTCCTCTTCATCGCAAATGGCTAATTGCGGTACAGCAGTAGGCGTCGGGGTGATGGGTTTTCCGCCTTTTATAAGTGATACGATCTCATCCGCCTCACGGCTTAAATCGCCGTCAGGACGAAATGGGTTATCCCAACCACTCTCCGTGCTAAAAATTATAATAGACTGTTATGTATCATCATCATCATTCATCATTACAGCCCTTCACAAGTCCACTGCTGAATATAAGCCATCCCCAAGGAATGCCAGAAGGCACGGTCCTGAGCCATCTGCATCCATTGACTTCCTGCATGTCTTAACAGGTCGTCACTCCATCTAGTGGGAGGACGCCCTACACTTCGTCTTCCGGTACGAAGCTGCCACTCGAGAACCTTCCTTCACCATAGGTTCTTCAAGCTATATGGCCGGCCCATTGCCTATTATATAATTAAAATCCAAATAAAGAGTTCGCTACACAGAACAGAAAAACTATGTATAACTAATAAGCGAATATAGCCCCATATGCGTGGACAAATAGCCCTACGAGAACATATTGAGATATTAGTCATCATTTTGAGATTCTTACAATGCATCAATGGTAATTAAAAGCAAAGCCTCCATAGAAGCCGAGAAGCCGGGCTTGCCCTATCAAACTGCTCAATCAATAATATCAACTAATAAAATAACTCGTAAAATGTTTCAAATTATTTCAAATTTCCCGCGCGGTCCTCTGTTCTACACATATCATGACCTCGTAGCCTTATTATGTAACTTCAACACTTGGCAGATTCGTGTTCTCTATGTCTCAAAGCGAACACGCAATGGACTGTCAAAATTAATGAAATGAGTTGAACGATTAGTCGTCTCTCTCGCACGCGTCAGCTTTTTACCGGGCCTTCGAGAAGACGATCACTCCCTTTCTAACCTGTGGCAAAATATAACTACGATTGCTTATAGCAATTAGTATGGAGCGATAAGTTGGGCTTTCGGTGTGAAAATAGTAGAGCGCGGGTGTGCGCGGACGATACGTTTGTAAGTTCACTTCACATTTCAATGTCTATTCTGTTTACTTGAGTGAATGAATATTGCGAGTTGAAAATTTATGCTTTTTTAAAGATTTTTAGTGAAAATTGAGGATAATAGTGTTCCTTGTGATGAATTGAAGTGTAAAAGTACTAACCGGCGAGGAAAAGTTAATATTTTTAAACTTTTTTGAGAAAAAACAGCTCATATCCACGCCGAAACCAACCAACGTCTGATCTGTGTATTTCTCAGATGAGTAAAACCCACGAACGGCAATTTAATAGATCTGTTTACAAAACTCATTGGATTGTTTGCTGCTCACATACCAATAAGTTGTACTGCTTATCTTGTCGTAACTATTCCACCCAAAGTTCCTCCGCGGAACCTGCACTCTCATCTCTGAAGCGCATCTATACTTGAGAAATATACAAGGTCAAGAGCGTCTTTCAGACTTATCAATTATCGCAATTGAAAAACAGTTATTGGTACAATTTATACAATTGCATACCTTTGCTGGCTTTTTCAGTCACCGAAGGTATGCAATTGATGTCATACAATCTATATAGCAGTAGTATGCCTTCTGTGTGCTTTGTTGAACACGTCCTCGACAGCACTGAACATGAAACTGAAGAGTGGAGACAGATCAAGATTGGTGTATTTTTATAAAACTGCTAAAAACAACAAAACCATATCTTGGGCTTGCCCTAGTTTGGAGCCCTAGCTTCGCCACTGCAACTAAGTAGTAAGAAAATAAGTAATTAATGAACTTACACATCAATACTACAAATTTAGAGTTGTATTTTTTCTTAAATATTACCTTTGAATATTCCTTTAACATGTAACAAATAACCATTTCATTTTATTTAGGAAAATAATTATAAGATGACAAAACATGGGTTGCCCAATAATTTTGAGATCAGTTTTATATTTGCCCCTGTTTCCACAGATTACATTATAACCTCGTAGGTTAGCTATAAATAAATTAATAAAGCATAGGACTCTATGCACTGCTTTATTGTCGAGTGTGTGGGCCAATTTGGTTAACACTGGTTTTCATACTATATTGTTCCCCATACTACTTCTATCTGTCTTTTATGTTCTGTGGTTAAGTAAGTAAGTAAGTCTAATACAGCTGGAAATGCCTCGTGTAGAGACGAAACACGTGTCATATTGTCGTCGGTGGTGTGTCTTTCCTAGTGTAGTGGTGGTAGAAGTAGTGGTGCTGTGGGATAGGGCATGCAGTTGAGGAAGGGCGGGAGGTGTTCTTCAAACTAGGTGAGATAGATAATTTTATTTTATTGCATGGATATTGGCAAAGTAAATTTTTCCAACTTTAAACTGTTTATTAATTTTAGATTTTTCCAGAGTATAGTCACATTATTTAAAAAGTTCAGGACTGGGATGGGTAGGACAGTTGCAAATTATATTAATTATTTATATATTTTTATGAGACTTTTATATAATGTAAAAGTTGACGAGGTTGAAATGGGAACATGAAAAATGTTCTGTGCTTAAAGTATTTTTAGCTTAAAATATTTTTAATCTTGAAATTGAAATCTTTAAACAACATTAATATGAGCCAAAAACTGTATTTAAAATTTGGAACTTAACTAAAAGGTACTACTTGGCAAGGGCGTTTGGTACTACTTGACAAGAACAATTAACATAAATAATACTGTAATCTTTATACTAAGAAATAATATAGAAAAATATATAATACTAGTCCCCGCGACTTCATCTGCGTTGAATTTATTACGATTGGATATTATGGGTTTTAAACTTTTTAAGTGCAGAACCCTAATTCGTTTTCTAAAATAAAAGTAGCCTAAGTTACTCTTTATAACATCAGATATCTGCCAGTGAAAGTCCCGTCAAAATCGGTCCAACCATTTCGGAAATTAAAATGGACAGACAGACAAAATTTTTAAAAATTGTGTTTTTGTTATAAGTACCCTGTATGTATTTAGTAAAAAGCTGTTATTGTGACATAACAAACAAACATTTCAATTTTATTTATTTGTATAGCTAACTCTGATCGAATGTAATCTTCAATTCAAATTACAATCCCATTATACTGATCTCTATGTGAGTAATCATTGCATAACAATCTAACATGGGTGGGTTCTAGTGGTACATGGTAAAGATGAAGTGATACACAAGTATTGTACTTTAAATAAATCATTCTATTCAATATGAGCAACCTCAAAGTCAAAAAGTACAGTATGTATTTGCCAGTTTTAATATATTTTCTTCCTTTCTTAAAGTTAGGTAGTGATGCGGTACTGGCAGGGAACTGTAGTTTTTACCTGTAAACATCCTATTCGTACGGGTATAAATTACGCATTTAGAAATCATTTTAACACTGGTTTCTTGAATTTATTGTGAGAAGTACAGAATGTGTCAATAAAGGCATGTATGAAATGGACTGATCACATTGAATCTGTATGCGACAAGCTACGAGCAATCCTTGCAAAATTTTATCTCATCAAGAGATAAGTACCTTACCAGATGTTACTGTTACTATATAATGCATTCGGCGAATCAATAGTCTCGTACGGATACCCACCTTGAAAAAATATACGAGCTACAGTTGCGCATCCTTAAATGTATCACCCCTCTCAAAATAAAAGATAAATATAAAAAAAAATCCTTATAGTCTTTTCGATCATTGCAAAATACTACCAGTAAACGACAAAGTGAAATACCTATTGCTAATTGAAAATTATGGCTAGGAAGAATTAAAAATTAGCCGTATTTATACAACACTTACTCGACAAACCCTCAATCCATATATGATTATCCCAAAATACAAAAATATGTACGGAAAATTTAGATTACAATATCAAATTCCCGCTCTTTTGAACCAAATTCCCAAACCAATAAAAAATGAACTTACTGAAAAAATATTAAATATATGCTTAAACAGTATTTTATCGACAAATTGTTAACGATACCTAATAATAATTGAAACTAAAATATAAAACTATATCATAATATAATATACATAAATAAAATTTTACTAATAAATATATACATAGATACACACAATTATAACATTATTATCTCAATTACTAATTTTCATTTAATACTAACCATATTTTGCTTTGGTACACACCTAGTTAAAAAAAAACATCTTGCTATTTTGTCACACCATTTATATACGTCATTAAATAAGTTGTCGCAACGCGAACCCATTGAACATGATCGAAGTTAGGAATGGCCATACATGGAAAAACTTTTGTAAGTTTATTTATACTGTCAGATGTTATTAAATAACTATACTTTGTAATAATAAATAAATAAATGACAACTGTGTTAGTTCCAACCTTAATGTACCGTAGTTAAAGTTGGGTGTGGCAGAAGAAACGTTAAAGTAAAATGAATGCTGTAGAAATTCAGTCATTAAGAAGTATTCTAGAGGTGGACTCAGGGTGATTGAATGAAAAATTGTGGGATAAGAGAAAGGTGGATTTTGCATGATGCCGTCACCAGGATTAAGAAAGGATTCCTTCTTTGGTAGTTTTGTTTGTGACTGGCAGAGATAGCAAAGGATGCTCTAGGCAGAAGTTTGCGACCAAATTGGCGATATGTAAATGATATCCTAAATTAAGGGTAGCCTTAACAGATAAGCAAGTAAGTATGTGTAATAAAAGAAGTGAGAGAGGTGTGTCAGGATTGTGTCAAATGTAAGCGTGTAGTATCTGCCTGCTCCTCTGGGTGACAGAGATGAGAGGTTAGTATGGTATAGTAATAGTATTTATGTATACATTGAAGAGTAAAAATACTGGTAAAATATAATATCAATACTTGTTTTAAATTGATAACTCATTTACTGCCAAAATTTTAGGAATTGCATCAATATTTTGAGGTATTTCTTTCATGAGATGATTCGAGATGTAACACGTAGAAGCCATCAGTTACCAAAGTCTATTCAGTCAATTATATCATTAAAACAAATTTACTTCAATGAAGTCACATTGCCCATAATTGAAGAGTAATAAGGTAATTAGAGTAATGGCCAAACTGACTTACCTGATCTGCCTATTGTACATTGTGTGCTCAGCCATATCGGAGTTGGCAGTGGTCGATAGCAGATTTGCGTACAGAATATGTGAATCTGGTTCTGGCACCGCGGGTGGCGGAGAGAGACACTGAGGTCTTACTCCTTGATAAAATGACACACGTACTTTTGAGCGCTCTGATCTGTAATTGGAATTTAACTAATAAGACTTCAATGTTAAATAAGAAAAAAAGCATTCATGAGTAACATTTTCGTAACACAATAGAAACTCGTAAAACTCATCTTGTAAAACATTCGCTTTGCTCATGTTGTTTTTATTTTTAAACATTATTTCACATACATTTAATATTAATGAGGTCCTACATTTAGTCCAAATATCATTTTTCTTTTCTTACTTAATATAAACCAGTGCATGCTGAAGTTCTAGATGGTATATTGCACTGTCTTAGTGCAATAAAATCCAATTCTAATTCTTGCCTTCAAGACAGACACCCACATTGTAATTTTACAGAAAGACAAACACAGGCATATTATTTCAATACTTATGCATTTAGATTGAATACATGGAATGCCGACAAACAAAGGGGTTCAAAGATAATTCTCATAGCAAAATAGTCTTTTCATACATCATATATTATATTATAAATTGAAATTAATAAATATCTACATATATAGCTCATTTCTATTAGGTAGTTACATTTTTTTTTTTTATAGAATAGGGGGCAAACGAGCTTGCGGCTCACCTGATGGTAAGTGACTACCGCCGCCCATGAACAACCGCAACACCAGGGGAATTGCAGATGCGTTGCCGGCCTTTTAGAAAGGTGTAAGCTCTTTTCTTGAAGGTTCCTAAGTCGTATCGGTTCGGAAAATTCGCTGGTGGTAATTGATTCCACAAAGAAGTTGTGCGAGGGAGAAAACTTCTTCTAAATCGCACAGTGGTGGACCGCCAATCATCCAGATGGTACAGATGGTAACGCGAGTTTTGTCGCGACGTGCGATGGTGAAATTGAGCGGCTGGAATTAGTCCGAACAATTCCTCAGCGCACTCCCCGTGATAGATGCGATAAAATACGCAAAGAGATGCAACATCTCTACGCAGTGCCAGTGTATCGAGCTGATCGGAAAGAACTCGGTCGTCGACGATTCGAATCGCTCTGCGCTGGATAGGGTCAAGTGGAAGGAGCTGGCACTGGGGTGCCCCGGCCCAGAGATGAGAACAGTATTCCATGTGGGGCTGAACTTGCGCTTTGTAAAGTTGCAAGCGATGTGCCGGCATGAAATACTGTGTCGCTCTGCTGAGCACGCCAAGCTTTTTAGAGGCCAATTTGGCCTTCCCTTCCAAGTGACCACGAAACTGCACGCTATTCGATATGTCGACGCCAAGGATTCCGATTCATTGAACATATGGATAAAATTTAAAGTTGCTTTCATTAAAAGCATTGCATCTTTTATTAGCTGATAAGCTTCACAAACACTAGACAAATTATAGAACTCCAAGATGATTTCTGGCTAATTTTTAGTAGTTTTTTTCTTATTTGACACTATTCACCTATATCAATATGAGCAGAGGTGTGTACATTTAAATAACAAACATTAAATGGCACCCAAATATTTACTTCATTATTTGTAAATTTTTATACTTTTTTATAATACCTACCTATATACCTTTTCTATTTTTATTATTGCACTTTATCATCCATATAATCATTATCATATAAAAATTGGTAAAATCTACCCATCTTTTACAGCAAAGCAATAAAAGTTACAAGTAGTTACTAGGCTTCCAACAATATACCAACTTTTGGAAAATACCAATGGGTAAAATATAACATTACAATAAGCTAAAAAAAATTCAGTTTTTAAGATATTACCATTCATTATGCTAAATTCATAATTCGCTGAGCCACATTTGTCATAGGATAGTAATGCCAAATACCTTTATAAATTAGACAGGTTTAAATACATTTCAATGATGAAAATGAACAGCCGCATTGTTATTTATTATAACCACTATCTTCAGAAACAATAAAAACCAGACGCCGACATCCCACAGGCGGCCTGACCTTACAGCGACCATAGGGCGGGTCTTTTAGGGATATAATCAGTGATGCACTCATTATAAATAGTGATTCGAAACACGTTTGCCAATGTATGTTTATTGAATGTAGGTAGACGCCGAGTGGTGACCTTGTGCTCCCGAGTGCTGGATAGAACTAAAAGTCATTTTATGTTTATAATTCAGTAGACGTGACGTCATACTGACCAAATACTCTCCACCATAAAAACCAATTTCAATGACAACTCGATACGAAAATTTAAATTTATCACTATTAATATTTCACTAGTTGTGACTGGATGTTAGAAATAATAAATACAACTGCTTAGGCAAGGGCTAAATACAAATTAAGTTTTAATTGACAGGTGAACACCCAATGCGCAGCATAACAAAAATGACGTGAACGTTGTAAATAACATTACCTTACAAGTAATCTCGAGAGGTACCGTTGTCACTCAACACTTTTATACAATTAATAATGTTCAAATAAGCACTATAAATAATTATTGGGCATTAAAAATGCGAATTAAACAACATCAGCGCAGTCGGCGACATAGATAAATATATATGCAGCAAGCTACTGGTCGGCGACTGCGTAGTGATTGGCCGCACGACGCTTCACGAGTTCACGACGTAAAAAGTACTCTGTGTTCACGACAGTGTTTCCAGTTTCCACAGTACAGTAAAACAACGTTTGCTTACTTCACTTCACATTCACACATCGATCTCAAACTCGGAATTGGAAGTCGTGCTCTACCCATAGCGAATGGAGCCGGGGCTAGCCGCTAACGGCTCTATTCGTTACTCGTCTAGTAACGTAACTTTAGCACTACTCGTTAAGTCGCTATTTTCTAAAACGATGTCGTTATAGCGCGCGAAAACTTATTTTTTAATTTCAGGTTATTGATTAAAATGTAGGTAATGATTAAAGTTAAATAACTGTAAATGTGCAAAAAAAGAGAATGGCTAATGTTTTATTACGTTAATTAGGTCATTAAATAAAATATGATATTGCCATTTATTTCTTCTCCCTTCCATCATCGGACAACCAGACGTTTGACCATCGTCAACCCCTTTGTTGTTGACGTACGAATACCGTGCAATCGAACCAAACGGCTTGCTTTGTTGTTGGTAAAGCAATGGAGTGGAATAATTGCTATCTATCTTTCCATTTGACTCTAGAAGTAATAATGCTGTGAGCGACACGTTAGGACCAATGGATTGATGATGATCATTTTATCATTAAGCGTACTTGTATGTCAGAGGAACACTAAAACAATAAAAATAATGTTTAAATCGTAATATTAAAAGGGTACGTTTTATTTATTATTTTTATACCGTAATTATAATTCATTATACCAAAAAATTAATAACCTTGAAAGAATAACCAAATTCAAATGTAGCTACTAGGGTTAGATTTTTGCTTAGTAAATAAGTTGTCATTATTAGTATTTTTATACAACTTTACGTAAACAGAACATAGTAAGTGTATGGAAATGCCTACATTTTCGTGCATCCCGTTTTAGGCACTTTCTGATTTTGCATTAAGCGTAACTATTATTTGCGTACGAATACATGGACCTTGCAACAAATCAAGGTCTTTGTGTTTCATATTTAGCTTTGAGTTTTATGTCTTATGGTAAATGATTCGTGATGTCTTTCTACGACTTCCCAGAGGCGTGTTATAGATCTTTATAGTGCCCATTATGATAAGAATAAATGCACGGTGAACGGCGGCGTCTGATCGCCATCGACTGTTACGTGCAGCATGAGCGTGATAGTGTATTTAATGGTTTTATCAAAACACAAATTGTTAGTATATTTAATGTCTACTGTCTTTTCTTAACAAAAATAAGTTTTAGTCATAGATATAAAATATACATATATTACACATAAGTTGATGAAGTTTTCATTACTTTTCGTGGTTATCATGTGATATAAGTTGATTTATTCGTAATTTTTTAATTTGAAGAGCGTTTGTTTGAGGTTAAGAATGGATGAGGAGTTATACATCAACAAAATACACCGATTGATCATCGGTCATACTTGCGTTATCGTAGAGAGAATTCCACATAATGATTACATAAAGGAACGTGAAAGTATTATTAAAAAAACAGAGGAATACAGGATGCAGAGTAAATGTGCTCTTTTTTCTAATGTGGGAAGTCAGAATGTGTCAACAAGTTTTTAGTGCGTTATATATGTATATCAATTCATAATGGTCTATTATTTCCGACGAGCATGTATGCTAAGATAATAAATCTATGTGATAGAAGAAGAAGAGAGAGAGAGAGAGAGATCGTGCCAAAAACGAGAAATGAAGTTCGACAAAAATTTCAATTTTCTATACAGATCGTATACAACAAAAAAGGTTAAAGTTACACCCATATACGTTCCTCAACTGATTATATGAGGTTTAGATGGTATACAATATATAAAGAAACGCTGTTCTATCCATATGAATCACATAGGTACCGTAATGACGTTACATGTGGTACATAAATACATTACAGTAGCACCGTTAAAAAGTAGTATCCACTTCGATACTACTTTCTCGTGGTCTCATCAAATGAAAGAAGTTAGCAGAAAGACTTTTCCTGCTATGGGTTTATTGCGGCGTTAACGTTCTTTCCTTCCCATCTTGATTTAGCTGGAGATCAACTAAACAAACTTGAGCGTATTCAAAATCTGGCTGTTAGGTTCATATTTGGCTTGCGCAAATATGACCATGTCTCTGAATTTCATTTAAAGCTCAAGAGCTTACCAATTCGCCTTCGCCGAAATCTACAAATTGTTTCTCTTCTTGTACTGTGTATTATATTCAATCCAATGACTCCTAGTTAACTGAAGCAAAACTTAAAGTTTCTTGGTCATGACAGACCGCTTATACTCGCGCCACATTCCTATTGAACTAAATACTTTAAGAATTCCTTCACAGTCAAAGGCAGTCTGCTTATGGAATGATCTTCCTCCGCAAATTCGTCGTGAGAAAACACTAGAAAAGTTTAAGACTGACGTCAAAAACTACTACCTAACAATGCAATAACTACTGGTCATCATTTGCGACATGTATTTTTTGTATCATGTCCTGTATTTATTATGTAATTATATATATATATATATATATATATATATATATATATATATATATATATATATATATATATATTTGCCTATTTAATCTTATGTATGTCTATTATATTTTGAATGTGTATATTAGTGTATTAAATATTTTGTTATTATGAATCAGTTTAGTTTATTTAAGTATTAGTATGTAAGTTTACTATAATATACACCACCTACCACTGTCTAATAGTAAATTTTTCACCTAATCTTGTTTAATCTAAGGTTGTCTGGAAGAGATCGCTTTTTAGCGATAAGACCGCCTTATTGTACCAACCTCTTAAGTTTTACTCCTTGTAATTTGGTTTTTTTATCGTTTTTTGTGGTGTACAATAAAGTATAAATAATAATAATAATAAACGTTATAGTTATGCAGGTATTTTTGTTAAAGGATTATTTTATGAAGTTTTTTGTATCGAGAGAATATTTTCAAACAAACGTGTTAGCTAAGAGACCAGCGCTTTATTATGATAAAGATAAAATGAAGTAAGTATAGAGCTGCTTTTCCATTGGCGAGGTGAGACGAGATTAAGCGAAACGAGAAATGAAATGTTGCCCACCCATTTCCATCAATAAAATTGCCATTAATACTATCGCAAGCTCGCGATTAATACATATCAATAGTAATCGCGGGCTCACGCGATATCGCATCAAGATTGTGGGCTACGTAATGTATAGTGAAGGTGTAGTGCCTTTCAGTTCGTCTTTAGATAAACACGTAGAATCCTTCATGTCTAAAGTTATGTTAAAGTTACAGCTTATATACGTCCCACTGCTGGGCACATGCCTCATCTTAATTCTGAGAGGGTTTTAGGGCAAGAAAATGTCTGCCGCGTTGCCCCGATTCGTCATTATGAACTTCAAGTGTCTTCGAAATATTTTTTTCTTATTTCATAGATATGGATGTTTCCTTACGATGTTTTCCTTCACCGCTGAGCACTTGTGAGTTCTTTATGTCGATTACTTAATAATTTTTTTGAAAAATATCAATACAAAATAACAAAAAAATTTAAAAGGACCGTACAACTATTTGTCGCGCACAAATAAAATATTTGTGTATGCCAAGGACAGTGCACAGCTCGCGGTTCTTCTACACTGCTCTACATAATTTTAGCTGTTAAATCTACTAAAATCGCTAGTCCGGTTAAGGTATACCGACGATAATATCTTTAGTTTGTTTCTTATATAAAGGGTGCAAACTAACATTCGGTGATCGTTAGTAATCAAGATCACATCAGATGTCCATGAAACTCGTTTTAGACATTTTTTTAAATTTAGGCAAAAGCACAATAAACTTTGTAAACGAAAATTCTTAATGTATGTCACATAAATTAGGTACTAAAATATCACAAGAAGAACGCAACTAAAGTAAAAATAACCGTCTATTGACATCAAATATGCTAAAATATATAAGGAATTAAAACAAATTTCGCTGATGCAAAAAGCAAGCTTTTTAAAAACAAGCTTTAAACAACCTTACTTATAAATACTAGTAAATATTAGTTCCAGGACAACTATTGGATAATATTTACCATTTCAAAACGCAGTGATTATATTATCTTTGGATGTATCTTCATCTCTATGCTACATATATGTACATACACATACAACTTAAAGTATTGATACTTGGTACCTAAGACCTATATAGGTAATAAAAATTAACTATAAAAGACAAAAGTCAGTTCTGTGCATTCTGTGACTACTATAAATCAACACTGGCCACCGGCAGTTCGGAGGGGAGTAGCTACTACACTTCAAATTTACGAAAAACATATCGTTACTTTTCATATATTATAAGTAATTTTTAATCACATTATTGCTATTTAGTGCTTTTTAAACTTACAATTATAACGATTTTCAATTATTTCGGATTTGTTTACCAACAGAGATGGTGTACAATATGCAGATCAGTCGAGCTACTGATCATAGTCTGTATCCGAGTTGTCGCTGTCACCGAACGTTAGTGTTATAATGTATCTATGTGTGTGAAATTGTTATTTTATTGTTTTAGTTGTTATGTGTGAGTTTCGTAGTGACAGACGAATGTTTTTGTGTGCGCAGATTTCCCCCCGCAAAAAATGACAAGAGAGATCTGTATCGACAATAAACGCTGTGGCTTTGGTCCCTTTGGCCCCTTTGGTCCAACGGTGGCCCGTGTTGCTCTGGTGGTTACTCCTACATTTGTACCAAAGTGTAAAGTAAAATTTCACTATAAAATAAATAAAATGTTATATTTTATGGATAACTAGCTGTTCCACGCGAACGAAGTCATTTATTGCTATTGGATGTCATGGGTTTTCATTTTTTATGCGCGGAGCCCTTTTTTTCTAAAATATATTTAGTCATAGTATGCTAGGGTTGAATCTGAATGACAGGGTGAGAAATAGTGTGATAAGAGAAAAGTGTTTTTTTGCAAGATGACGTTGTGACAAGGATTAAGAAAGGAATGCTTCGGTGGTTTGGTCATGTAGAAAGAATGAACGAGGAAAGAGTGAAAAAGCAAATTTATGTTGCAGAAGTGAACGGCAGGGTCGGGAAGGGACGCCCTAGACGAAGGTTTATCGACCAAATCGGCGATACATTAAAAATGGGCCAGATTAGGAGTACCCTTAACCGACGAGCGTGTATGCGTAGATATATGGATGTAAAGGAGGCGAGAGAGGTGTGTCAGGATCGCGCCAAATGGAAATCCGTAGTCTCTGCCTACCCCTCTGGGTGACAGGCGTGAGTGTTTATGTTTTATGTTTATATTTAGTCAAAGTTACTCATTATAACATCAGCTATCTGCTAGTGAAAGCTCCTTCAAAATCGGTCCACCTATTTTGGAAATTAACCGGAATAAACAGACAGACAAAAAATATTTAAAAATTGTTTTTTTTTTTTGTTATAAGTACAGTATATACTTTCATTTGCATTTAGTAAAAAACTGTTATATTTGAAATTACAAATAGACACTTCGATTTTATTTATTTGTATAGATAATTCCTTGTTAAAATTATAAGTATTGATAAATAATCTTATTTATGTCTGTATAGGTGGTAAGTTTATGATTATATAATCAGTTAGTAAAGAAGTTATTTATAACTGATAACATTATACTGAACCAAAACTATAAACAGATATTTAGTTATCTAGTTGTACAAGTACAAGGTACTGAGAAGTATTACCTTATAATATTGTGTAACAAGTAACGGCATACATATTAATTTAATTACAAGGTAGAAAACAAAATAATCCTCGCTAACTTCTTGTTAATCATCATAAGCCCGTAAAAGTCTATTGCTGGACATAGGTGACCCCCATAATAGGGAGGATGTGCCTCAATCATCATCTTTGGCAAGCGGATTGAGAATCGCGTCGATTTATACCAGACGGCTCGTACCTTGGACGCCGCTGCCCGTTTACGTCCGATGTAAACGAGTTGTTTATATGGCCATCTTTTTTATATGATACGGTGACAAAAGAGCACACAGTCCACCTGATGTTAAGTGGTTGCTGTGGCCCATAGATATCTACATCTATCCTCGTTTGCGAATCAAAATGCAGATGCGTTGTCACCCGTGAAGACTAAGATGTAATGCCTCTTTTCCAGTAAAAAGTGTCTCCGGTTCTCTACACTCACCGTACGAAACACAGCAGTGTTAAGCTGCTATTTTACGCTGGTATTCTGTGAGAGCGTGGTCCTTCTCCGGTCGAGCCGACCCATTCGTGCTACAACTATACTACTAATATAGCTGCAGCATGGCTCTACCACGTACAGATGTCGTAAGCTTTTTCTGAGATACCCACGGGACTAAATAGGGTGATAGATTCTCCTACGATGCCACCATACGACTATGCTAACTATTAGGGACCATTGCGAACTATTCATAAAAATAATACGAAGTAATTAACCAATTTTTAAAACGTCATACTCATCTGCTGTACGCGGTGCATCCTTTTATTTGGTTGATAAGGCCTAAGAGACCAACTAATGAATTAAAATCCACCCGAAAACTCTGAACCTAATTTCATAGATTGGTGATGATGACAAGCAGTAACGTTATATGTCAGTGTAGGTTGATTAAAAACAAATTCTTTAAGTAATGGATAAATAAAAAATAAAATTATTATGACATAGTAAAATAAAATAAAAATGCTTATAATAAATAATTAATTCGCTGCGTTTTTTTTAATCTTATTGTTTTATTTTCTTTGTTATTCGTTTATAATAAATACGCCCATTATTAATTCGCTATAAATACGCCCACTACTTATTGAAATGAAAATAAATAAAACATACTCATGAAATGAATAAAACGTACTCGTCTTCGACGGGTGTGTAGGGGAACGAAGTCTCTTGCACGTTCGGTGGCGGACTGCTCTCTGGTTCCTCCTGTAGAGGGCTCTCGTAAATTAGAGTTTCCACCATTGATCCTTTTGAACTCCCAAATGACACCCTGTTGAAAAAAACAAACTGTACTGATGGTTATTGAAAAAACCAATAATTGTCAGTAAAGAACGTTAAACATATTGACGGATAACCACATACAAATCGGCTTGTGGTTATTTCGTTATTAGTTATCTAAATAGCCGCTTTCTCTGTCTGTTATATTATTAACAATTAACAATAATTTTAAAGACATTTAAAGAATTTTAAGTTGCTGTTTTATATAGTTATTATAGCACAAACTATATAGAAACACTACGTATTATAGTAAGAATGTATTTGATATAACTGCTTGTTGTAGAAAGTTTACGATATTAAACAGAAGACAGGAGGGAACAGAAAGGATTCTTATACCTACCATTAGGATTTCCAATTCGTATTTTTGAAACTTTGTCCATTTTGATGCCTTCAGTTTAATCTCCTAAGACCTCTAGTGTCTTAACATCTTGTTTTTTGTTTCGTGAGACAATAACTTACCTTACAACAAGATCTTTTCTAAATTTATAGTGACCACCGAATAGAAATACTGTTGGTTTGTCAACCCCTGACTAAATGAAACAGGAGATGGGCAGCAGCATCTACCTGATAACAACTTAAAATAGCAAAACATCTGCAGCAAATTCCCCGCTATGAAACAATCTATGGGGAGGCCTACGAGATATACAGCAGTAGACGTCTATAAGCTGTTATGAATGCATTGATGACAATCTCGGGGTCTATTAAAACGAAATTTATCACTTTTGTAAATATAAAGTTGCCGACAAACTGGCATACAGTTTGGCAAAGTTTGAAATGTAAATAATGTAACACTTTTTCTATGAATAAATTTAAAAAAAATTGTTTAACTTAAATATGGTTTCTTCTTTTGTTCTCAAGGAAATGACGTTATAGTGGAAATAATAAAAAAATGAAAAACTAGATAAAGAACTTTTTTTATATAACTGAAGTGTCAGACTAAATTACAGTCCACCTGATGGTAAGTGGTCACTGTACAGTCCGTGGACACACCAGCCAACTTCAAACAAAGAAGACTACGGTTTCGTTGTTACCTCTGAGGACTAAGATGGAATGACTCACAGCCTGTAATATACCCTGTAATAATAATACTGACTCTGTATAGAATATAATAGAATAGAATGGAATGATTTTTTATTCAATATTGATTATTACATAAAAAAATACTAAATAGGTTCGGAAAATACCTCTGTCCTGGGAAGAACCAGCAAGAAACCCAGCGGGACATTTTTTTTAAAATATTTCACTTAACAATAATTTCTTTTATACAATTTTTAAATGAATTTTCATAGAACCAGCATGGTGGCGATCACCCTATTCCCAGGGGTTATTTTCATTCATACATTCCTTTTTTTTTATAGAAGAGGGGGCAAACGGGCATGCGGCTCACCTGATGGTAAGTGACTACCGCCACCCATGAACAACCGCAACACCAGGGGAATTGCAGATGCGTTGCCGGCCTTTTAGAAAGGTGTAAGCTCTTTTCTTGAAGGTTCCTAAGTCGTATCGGTCCGGAAAATTCGCTGGTGGTAATTGATTCCACAAGGAAGTTATGCGAGGGAGAAAACTTCTTTTAAATCGCACAGTGGTGGACCGCCAATCATCCAGATGGTATGGATGGTAACGCGAGTTTTGTCGCGATGTGCGATGGTGAAATTGAGCGGCTGGAATTAGTCCGAACAATTCCTCAGAGCACTCCCCGTGATAGATGCGATAAAATACGCAAAGAGATGCATCATCTCTACGCAGTGCCAGTGTATCGAGCCGATCAGAAAGAATTCGGTCGTCGACGATTCGAACCGCTCTGCGCTGGATGCGGTCAAGTGGAAGGAGCTGGCACTGGGGTGCCCCGGCCCAGAGATGAGAACAGTATTCCATGTGGGGCCGAACTTGCGCTTTGTAAAGTTGCAAACGATGTGCCGGCATGAAATACTGTCTCGCTCTGCTGAGCACGCCAAGCTTTTTAGAGGCCAATTTGGCCTTCCCTTCCAAGAGACCACGCAACTGCACACTATTCGATATGTCGACGCCAAGGATTCCGATACTAGCTGAGGCAGCAAGGGAAGTGCCTTGAAACTGAAGAGATACGACAAAGGGGTTCTTTTTAACGGTAAACGCGCATACTTGATATTATAATAACTTTTTTTGTATAGTTTTTCTTTAATAAATCTTTTAAACTTGCTTATGGACAAACTTTGAACATGTTCTGGGATTTTGTTGTAAAAGCATATACATTGTCCCATAAATGAAGTACTGATTCTGTGGAGTCTATTAACTGGCATTACAAGCTTATGTTTGTTCCTAGTGTTTAAGGTATGAACATTCTTATTCTTATTCAAGCTATTTATGTTTTTATGTACATACATAACACTGCAGACAGGAGACAAAGTGCAAGTTACGACAGAAATACGTAAGAGGGTGTCCAGAAAGGACTCAGGAAAGGTCTTCTACACCTAGTACTTCACCACGAATTAAAGTAGTCAAATGTATGTAACGGCGGCAATTTCTCGAAAATTGCGTAAGTGATTGCAAAACCGCTGCTCCTTTTTAATAATTTCTAAGAGACCGTAACCGTAGTCAATCCGCATGAAGATGTGTGCATATTGTAGCAATTCGGTATATTATGCCGCTAAATAAGTTTGATGGACAATTTAGTTTGAAGGGACGACCCTTTGTACGCGCTAGCCATTCCCTCCTTAGGGGTTCCGCCAAATCAAAGGTCACGCCACGTGCCACGGTAAACAAGAGCTATCTGTAGCTATATGACTGGGTGATATGTGGAGCCGGCCTGAGGTAGCTGCTATGAGTGGGCAGGACGAGACGAGGGGTGTTCTCTACGCGACTCGACCTCAGTTGCAGTGGGCGTAATCCTGCCCACTGCATTTAGAGTCGCGAGGTGAAAGGAGTGTGATATAGCGATGGGTAACTCGCCCTTCCCTCCATGACCCTATCCTGATGAGGTCGTAATGGAGCCGCGGGAGGATAGGAGTATCATTGTTGCGAGACGCCGCTCTCCCTACCCTCCACTGCCAAATCTTGGTCAGCGGCGGATTCATAGACCAGATTCGTCAGAAATCACCAAGTCGTGGCTGGTAGGCTGGTAAGTAGATTCGAATGCATGCAAAAGCGTTTCCAAGCTCAAGCGGCGCAGGTTTTTTTTTCATATAATAAGGGTGACAAACGAGCACACAGTCCATCTGATGGTAAGTGGTTGCTGTAGCCCATAGACATCTACATCTATCCTCGTTTGCGAATCAAAATGCAGATGCGCTGTCACCCCTGAGGACTAAGATGGAATGCCTCTTTTCCAATAAAAGGGGTCTCCGGTTCTCTACACTCATTATACGAAACACAGCAGTGTTAAGCTGCTACTTTACGCTGGTATTCTGTGAGAGCGTGGTCCTTCCCCGGTCGAGCCGACCTATTCGTGCTACAACTATACTATTAATATAGCTGCAGCATTGCTCTACCACATATACAAAATTGGGGGAGTAATCATAATATTTTTTTATTTTTTTTTACATTATCTCCACAGTAGGATTTTCTCCTGTAAGCCTGTAACGTAGAGGCAGTTTAAATACATAAATTGCACATGAATAAACATTCAGGAAACAACAACCAAGTATATGGTTTCAGTGCTATATAAACGTTCCGATGTAACCCGACCTTAATATCAAAACAAAGTGCTACGGGAGCTCTAAGTATTAAAAACGATATAAATGAATAACGAATGAGCATAGCTTAGCTTACCTTATATTTAATAAGCATACATCTATTGAAACACTCATAGAATACTATAATACACAATTGTATTGTGTACACAGAACACAATTACTCCCTACCGAGTGATTGTTTATTATGTATTTATAGTATTCTATGGGAACACTGATATAATAGCTTATGTATCGATAAGTGTGAAAAAATATTGTATTTTAATAGTATTTTTTAACATTTAAGCAAAATTACATAAGGGATTTTTTTCTAACTTAAACATGCTCTCGCCTTGTTCAGGTTTTGATTGACAAAAAAGTAGAATATTAGTAGACTTTCTGCAGTCGTGCCATGTTGACTGTCGTTGTATCGAAATGTTGAAATATTGTAACAAAGGTATAGAATTCTTTATCTTAGCTTTGTACAGTAGAGCCAAGATGGCTCTATTCAAATTCAGATTCAGGACCAGATTATGCTATGTCTGTTGCACTGACCTCTATATATGAAAACTGTTGGTATATATTCTAAGTCTATGGTATGTTACTATGGCGATAAATAAAGAGTTTTTAATCACTACGATAAAGCGATAGAGATCGGTGTATATCTGTGGTGTATATTTTTAACTGTCATTCAACCGTCGCATATATCATTTAACAAATTAACATGATTTTATATTTCCTTGCAATTAACCAATAATAACACAATTCTTCGTAATACACCATTAACATTTATATTCGATTATATTATACATTATACACTACCTATAGATATTATTAGAAATTGTATACGAATAATTTATTCATAAATTCAAAAAGGGCGAAAGAGCTAAGTTTTCTCTTGGCTGTCTAGGCAGTAAAAGTAAGTTGGATGCATTTTCTGATTTAAAAGGTATTTAGTATAAAACGGCCTAATATTTGAAACTATGCATAAAAAAATTAATATACAAAGACATTTAAGTAATGGTATATATATTTAAATCTCTTTGTTAATAGCATACATTTTACTGATACACACAAGCCTCCTCGCATATCTGTCTCTACATGTCCTTAAAATATGTTAAATATCTTGGAAATGCAGGTTACCTCTCGATGCTTTCCTCCATCGCTCATCACGTTCATTATTTATTGAAAATATATTTTCAATATCAGTTGCCGATTCCTGCAATAATAATCCATGGGAAATAGCACTATGAAAGTAGCCGCAATAAACTAATCTTGCTGTATCCACTAATGATAAGAGCCTTTTCTTTATAACTGCATCCACTTATTGATTGAAAGCATCCAC